TTAGTATAAGGGCCCTAAGCCCTAAACCATAAACCCTAAACCCTAAACCCTAAACCCTAAACCCCAAACCCTAAACCCTAAACCCTAAACCCTAAACCCTAAACCCTACACCCTAAACCCTAAAACCTTAAATTTTGGGAAACTCCCAGGTCGCCGGAATTGTTCGAAGCTTGGTGAAGCAGAAGCTGCTGTACTGCCTGAGGAAGGGGGACCTGGTCAGCTACCGGTTTCTTCTGAACCTGGGTTCTGGAGTACCATACTTTAATACTTTTTTGGGGGTTCTGGAGTACAATACTTTAATACTTTTTTGGGAGGACCTGTTCCTTAAAGGAACCGTTATTAAATACCAGTCTATACTTTAATACTTTTTTGGGGACCTGTTCCTTAAAGGAACCATTATAAAATACGAGTCTATACTTTTTTCTCCCTGGTTGCTTCAAAGCCCAGGAACGACCAGGTGAGGATCTTCCGAAGTCTGCCCATTGAGCCCTTCCTAAACCCTAAACCCTAAACCCTAAACCCCAAGAGCGACCAGGTGAGGATCTTCCGAAGTCTGCCCATTGAGCCCTTCCATGGCATCATCCCAGGCTTTGAGTTCCGAGAAGAGGTCTCGGAGGAGGACTCGAAGCTCGAGAGCTTCCTGTACCAGATCCTCGGTTTTTCTTATTAGGGGTTAGGGTTTAGGGTCTAGGGTTTAGGGTTCAGGGTTTAGGAGGAACTTATATGAAGTGTTGGTTAAGCTACCATAAAACGGGAGACCATATTATTGACCATAAAACTGGGAAGCCATATTATTGACCATAAAATGTGTAAACCATAGTATTGAAAGTAAAATCAAGTTCCTGAAGCATCACCCAGGATGGGTTTCAGCCACATCGCTGAGCGTGACGCCGGGGGCTTCTCGCCCATGTGCTACGCGGCCGTGCGTGGGGATCCCCTGCTGCTCCAATCTCTGCTGAAGCAGCGAGCAGATCCGAACGACAGGATCTGGAAGACTTGCCCCAAGTTGGGCATCAGCCGGAACACTTCCCTGTTGGCCGTCTGTGCCTTCAACGGCCACAACGAGTGCCTCAGGCTTCTGATCGCACAGCGGGCCGGTGTCGATGCCAAGGATGTGATCAAGTCGGGCCCCCTGCATGCAGCCTGTGGAGCCAACAATGCAGAAGCTGTGCGCATGCTGTGTGCCGTGGGCGCAGATCAAAGTCTGAAGACTGCGAGATCCTGTCTGAGCCTCACACCCTTTGCCACGGCCTGCACCTTTGGCTGCGTGCAGACTATGAAGGTCCTTCTGATGCAGGCGCCGCAGCCACTGAAGCTGATGCTGTGCCCTGCACTACCGAAACCTACTATAAATTCTGTAATATAGGCTTTGTAATAAAGAACCTACCAGAAGTACTTCAAGGATCATGGGACTTAGTAAGTAGGGTTATAATTAGGGTAACTATACTTATAACCCCAATTAAGGGACTTATAACCTTACTTACTAAGTCCCATGGTCCTCCAAGTAGGCTATGGTACTGTTGATGGACAAAATTCTGCATGACCCAAATATAGTATAGTACCATAAATCCCATAGTTTAGGTATATAAGGTCATGCAGGATTTTGTCCATCAGCCGTAGTTTAAGGTACCTCATGATGGCGTTTCAGAATGCCAGCGTGGAGTCGGCGGCCACCTTGCTGCAGGCTCGGGCCGACATCAACGAGCGATTTTGTCCGACGACGGGCTCGACCTTGTGGATGGTGAATCTGGGTTAGGGCTTAGGGTTTAGGG